AGAGACAGCGATCCGCCAGCTGTGATAATGAGGTTCGCGAACAGGAAGAAAAAGATCGAGCTACTAAAACAAGGACGGAACCTAAAGGGGACTAACGTCTATATGAATGACCACTTAACACGGAAGAACGGGGAAACGGCACGCAAAGCCAGGTTTCTGAGAAAGCAGGAAAAAATCCAGAGCACGTGGGTGAGAAACTGTAAAATTTTCATCAAGCTAAACGGTCCACCGGAGGAAGCAAAGGTGCTGGTTGTCAGAAGCATGGAGGAGCTCGCCAAATATGACTGAATCAGGAAGGACATCTCAGAGGTAACAATAAATCACTTTACATGAATACAATGACATCCATTCACAATAATCCTCAAGAGGACACTGAATACAGTGATTATGACCCTGAGAACAACCTAGATCCTGATACTATGTTTTTGTCAGATACTATCATTGATTGCCGCTACTATTCGTAAAATGATTTCAATGCTGTAAACATCAAAGGAAAACTATCAATAATTCACTTTAATAGCAGAAGCATGTACACTAACTTCAGTAGTATCAAAGAGTATTTGCAACAATTCACTTCTCCGTTTAGTCTAGTAGCAATTTCAGAAACATGGTTTACGAAATTTTGAATTGGAAGGTTACGACTTAAATTATGTGAACAGAAAAAATAAAGCTGGTGGCGGGGTAATTCTACTAGGTCTGGAGATAGATGTCTGGCGGGGTGGCTATTTATGTAAGCCAGCCATTCCCAAACTCAGTAACACCGAGGCCCCCTTAAAAATCTGACGGGTCTGTGTGGCCCCCCCAAAATAATAACCAAGAAGACAACATTAAGAATAGGCTCTTCTGGTTATTTTATTTTGGGGAAATAGCCTCTGCTACAAACATTGTAATACAAAAATGATTACAGTGGATTATTCAAGTCAAATAATGAACACAAATATTTTAATATTACAAACAAAACATTATAAATTTAACATTAAATAATTATATTATTTTTTTATTTTTTTTATGACCTCCCGCGGCCCCCCTGCAGTACCCTCGCGGCCCACCACGGGTCCGCGGACCCCACTTTGGGAGACACTGATGTAAGCAATCAAATACAATTTTAAATGATTGAAAAAATGTCAGTATCAGTTGATAACCTACTGGAATGTGTTACAATTGAAATAAACTGTGAAAGGAAAAAAAATATTATAATTAGTTGTATTTATCGATCACCGGGGTCAAGCATTGATTTATTTACGGAATGGATGGAGAGAACATTCTCTACTGTAAATAAGACATTATTTATTTGTGGAGACTATAATATTGATCTGATGAATCCAACCAACCATCTACTGATGAATTTGTAAATGCTATGTATAGTATGAGCCTCTTCCCATCTATCTCCAGACCTAGTAGAATTACCTCGCATAGTGCTACACTCATTGACAATATCTTTACAAACGCTATGGAACAAACCAAAGTTAGCGGTCTCATGATATCTGTCATAACTGATCATCTTCCTATATTTGCATTGTTCAATGACAATTATGAACAAATCTGTGAATCTCCAAAAAAAATATATAAAAGGGTACTAACAGAGAAGTCTATTAATGCTCTTAACTATGATCTAGCTAACCAGGATTGGACCAATGTGCTGGTGGAGAATGATGCGAACAGAGCCTACAATTCATACCTGGAAATATTTTGTTCCTTATATAACAAACACTGCCCTACGCGTCAATATAAAAAAGAGAAAAGAATACTAAAGTGTCCATGGCTAACACAAGGACTACTCAATGCATGTAAAAAGAAAAACTACTTGTATAAACAATATATGAACCAAAGAACACAACAATCTGAGGAACGGTATAAAGTATACAAGAACAAACTAACAACCATTGTACGAAATGGCAAGAAATTATACTACGAAAATAAACTAAATGAAAACAAAAGCAATATTAAAGGAATCTGGAGTATACTGAATAAATTGTTAAGAGACAATTACACTATCAACTCATATCCTGACTATTTTATAGATAATGACACTGAAAACTTTGATCTGAAGAATATTGTCAATAAATTCAATGATTTCTTTATAAATGTTGGACCTGAATTAGCGGCTCAAATCCCACCAAATATTAATAACAAAAGGGCGGATTCAACTATTGTAAGGAACTCGCAAACCATCTTCCTCGCTGACGTGAGTGAGGCTGAAATTAAGTCTATTGTGAATAAATGTAAAAATAAATCTTCTATGGACTGCTTGGACATAAATATGAGACTAATAAAAAGAATAATTGACAATATTCTGAAACCTTTAACTCACATATGTAATGTATCACTTCAAACTGGGACTTTTCCGGACAAAATGAAAATAGCCAAAGTGTTACCTCTATTCAAAAATGGGAGTAAACACATATTCACAAATTACAGACCAGTCTCTCTTCTTCCGCAGTTTTCAAAAATATTGGAGAAAACGTTTTACAGCAGGTTGGAAAAATGTATCTCGAAGCATGAGCTAATTGATGAAGGGCAATACGGATTTAGACCCAAAAGATCAACCACTATGGCTATTATTGACGCTGTGGAAGAAATCACCAGTGCTTTAGACAACAAAAAACATACTGTTGGAATCTTTATAGATCTAAAGAAAGCATTCGATACTATCAATCACTCCATCCTTGCTCAAAAATTAGAAAAGTATGGTATTCGGGGAGTTGCTGGGAACTGGATTAAAAGCTATTTAGAGGAAAGACAACAATTTGTTAAGATCGGGGACTTTTAATCAAAATGTATGAGCATTGTTTGTGGACTGCCTCAAGGGTATATACTGGCACCTCTACTTTTCAATCTATATATCAATGATATATTTAAAGTATCAGAATTATTAAAAATGGTGTTATTTGCTGATGATACCAACATATTTTATTCTAACGATAACTATAATAGTCTTATAAAGGATGTAAATCAGGAACCCACTAAACTTAAAACATGGCTGGATTTAAACAAATTATCACTCATGTCGTCAAAAAAGATTTGACTGACGTGTTCAGAATTTGATACAGAAATAAGGCCAAGAATGCAAGAGTTAAAAATAGAACATTTAATTCTCTTTACAATTAAATATTGATACAAAACCCTTGGAGCCATTAACTCTTTCCCCCTTGGACGCCTATTAGGAACTACACATACATGCATTACTAGGGCTACCCATAGAGCATAACTGTATAAAAGAAAACGAATGTCCACAAGTGATTATAAATCATTTCACACTCTGAAATTTATTGAAACATAGACATATTTGGTATCTCTGTAAACCTTAGAGCTTGAACTATCCATTTATGTATGCTTAAATGTAATTAAACTAAATTACAGGTATGTAACAGCTTATTGAACATTTTATTTTACCTAGTCAGGTGCAAATTCGAAAATAAAAAATGAACTCTGCATCTGATATATACATATTCTGAACACTGTATTCATAAAAAAATGTAAAGATATATTTGTCAAAGTATTGAGACAGGCTTCATATTACCAGATACAGTGTGAGCAAGTGTATACCTGTTTCTACCTGTTATACACCTGTGTGTACCTGACTCGTTTTTTTACATTTAGCTTATTCAACTCATTTACATTTAGCTTATTCAACTCATAACATTTAGCTTATTCAACTCATTACATTTAGCTTATTCAACACATTACATTTTCAACTCCTAAAGGAACTCTGAAGTGATTGTCTTTTTGGAATATAATAAAAATATAATAACAATGTAATACCAACAATATAATAACAACTGAAAAGTCTGAAAAGCCAGATTTTCAGATCTGAACCTGGTGTGACTCAGTCCTCAGGTGGATGCAACTCCCGGAAACAGTCATTGCACATGTGTGTATTACATGTTGAACACCCATATACAGTTTCATGGCGACGTTCCTTTTTGTAGCAGCTTTTACACCTGCGGTGTTTTCCTGGTAGTCGGTCAAAGGAGTGCATCATCTTGCGTTTATGCGTATCGATGAATGGAGGAGATCCACACTCATGAATGGCAGCTCTCTTTCTGCTGGAGAATTCATTGATCAACTCTTTTCCCAGCTCCAAGATGAAGTCCTTCTGGGCATAGCGCTTCTTCCTTCCCATTTGCCTGGTCGATGCCAGCTTGTAAAGAATCCAGGCATTTACACGGCAGCAGTCAACCACAAACCATAATATGTACTTCCAGTACTTTTTGCTGGCACGTGATGCTGCATACTTTTTCCTCAGCTGATCATGAACATCAACACCATTCATGTGTTGGTTGTACCTGTTGATAGCCTGGGGTTGTGGCACAGTTAATTTCTGTCTGCCCACCTGCCGTTCACAGGTAACCATTTCACTTGGATGAGCAAGGTAAGTAAGCAGTAAGTAAGTAAGCTTTATTTATATACCGCCTTTCACAGACCAGAGTCACAAAGCGGTTTACAATTGTTATTATTTTTTGGGCACTTGTCTCTCACTCCACACAGAGATGGGAGTGAGTGGGTCGCCAGTACAGGAGGCGCATGCCAGACCTATTGTACATATTTTTTAGTGGTAGGGGAAACCGGAGTACCCGGAGGAAACCTACGCAGACACGAGGAGAACATGCAAACTCCACTCAGAAAGGCCCTGGTCCGGCCAAGATTCGAACCCAGGACCTTCTTGCTGAGAGGCGAGAGTGCTATCCACTCAGCCACCGTGCCGCCAAGGCAACTGTGAGCAACAATTACAATGCTGTTGTCATTCCAAGCTGTCACGGTGACATTGTTTCTTTGAAAGGTCATGGTGTCACCTCTCTTTGGCAGCTTTTTTTTTAGCTGCTTCTTTTGTTTCAGAGCAGGTGGGGAATATTTTCTTGTTGTCAACATTGTCCCACAAGCATATATGTGGTCTGACAGGAGATGCTCCAGCAATGAAACGGAAGAGAAAAAACGGTCAAAGTAAACACAGTGATTTAGGCCAATTAAGTCCCGTGTCATTTCGTGAATTACTCTGTATCCTAGTCCATGACGCTGCTGAAGAGGGGTCTGATCACGCTTGCCTGAATATAGTTGAAAGTCAGACATGTAAGCTGTCCTGCCATCACACCTTGCCCAAAATGTTATGCCAAATTTCTCTGGCTTTTGGGGCATGTACATGCGTAGCTCTGTTCTTCCTTTGAAGCCCTTCATAGCTTCATCAATGGAGATGTCACGATCATGCTTGTAGTACATTTTGAATTTCTCACGTGCCATGTCCACTACAGGAGCCACTTTTGCGATGGGATGGTAATCAGGATGGTTTCGACCAATACGCGCTGCCGCGTGATTACAGTGCAAGTACTGAGACAGTTTCTCGTACCTGTTCACGGTCATCACGCGCTGAAACCCGCTGACACCGAGGAATGGATCTCCACACCAATAGTCCGCGTATTCATGCATGGGATTTGCACCCATGAGTATTGCCAATCCAAAAAACGCTCTAATTTCTTCCCCATCAGTCGGCATCCAGTGCTTGTCAGCGCCACTCTCTCTCGCACATAGCGCCGCGTAAGCGTTAGTTTCTGTGGCAAGTTTATCAAACATCTCATCCGGGAAGAAAAGACTGAAGTATTTCAAGGGACTAGCCTCAGAAACATCCATATTTCGTGGCAATTTTGGTCCACAATCCAGAGTAAAGTCCCCAATAGTTTGCTCACATATGACGGGACTCCAGGCAGACGCGTCTCGCAGATTCTCCTCCTCGTCAATTTCACTCGCGTCGCTGTCACTGTTTTCCACAATGTAATCCGGGTCATCCAAGTCATCACCACTCGAAAATCCATGAAACTCGAAGCCAGAGTCACTTTCTCCAAAGTAATCCTCTAAAAATTGCCGCGCCTCAGTCACTCGAAAACTTTCTCCCGCTGCCATCTTTAAAGTCCCGCTGACAGCTCGGTTCCCGAAGCTAGAGCTGTCACTACTTCGGCAAACTTCGGAGAAAAAGTTTCCTTTAATCCTATTGGTCAGACTAGTATGGGCTCTGGTAGCCCCCGCCAATCACAGCTCTGTTACTAGGGGAAAACCGCAGCCTTTCCATAGGGTCGTCAAATAGCGTCTTTATTGATATAGCGGAGGTGTCAAAACACGTCATTAAGGGTACAGGGGGGGGCGTCAAATAACGTCATTATGGGGGAAAGAGTTAATTCTCTAAAACTAACCCTATGCTGAGCCATCCTAAAACTTTCCCTCCAGGCCTGAAAATGTGCAGAGAACATGCAGGCGCTCTGCCATGTTCTCTGTCTCTATCCCTGCTCTGACTTCCTGAAAATCTCCTCTCAGCAGTTTCTATCAGAAGGTCTGATGACGTCACAGGTCCCAGACTGGTCCAGTCTGATCCAGCTTTTTCTGGTTTTGGGAGGCGCGTACCCCAGCTAGCCCATGGACTCCGGACTTTGTCTGGTCTGGTCTGACATCAATCTCCTTCTCCAAACAACTCTTATCTGGCTGGGGGAGCTCTGCATTCCTCACATGGTCTGGCTGACTCGACTAGACTCCACTAATATGAAATCACTGAAAATATAAACGACGTGTGCAGCATTTCTTGAGATGATGCATTATTCCCTCTCTTGACCTTTCATAAATAGGTCACATCCACATCGTCGTTTATCATCAATACTTGTGCTTAGTTCAGGCTCGATATTTGTGAAGAGTTAATACAGAAAGAATACAACACACAACAAACCACATTTTAGCCATTCCTTCAATACTATTTTGATGACTACTGCTGTGTCATTCTGATTCTTCATCAACCTCGTCTGTAATGTATGCACTAAAACTATTCACTATAGTTTAAACTATTCTAATCTATTTACAAATATGTTTGCATATTTGCTTTTATTGAGCCATATTCTTAAACATATGTTTTTATCTAATAAATCTGTCTATACTGTGGTTTGCTTTCATTATCAGTGGCTTTGTGCCATTTTGTGGGGCTTTGCTCATTTTTCCAAACACATTTGTTGAACCAGGAAGTGCTGTCACTTCCTCCTCTCAAGACAGTTTGGGATGAATGTACATCGTTAATCAAATTGGTATTATCCTTACAAGAGCTAATCTATTTTAGCAGGTTTTTGGGGTCAGTTACTCTACCATGGTATTCGATTTTCTAATCCGTGCTGACAAATCGACAGCTTTTAAAATTCTCAAAAATATCTAAACCTCTACTTTTGTGCTATACCCAAATTCACCAAAATGCTTTTAAATGTTTTTGAATCTCTGTTGGTTCTAATCTATCTCATTAATCTAAGCTACATTAGTCTAGGCTACACTCATGCAAGTTGCCTGAAAGGGAGCGGGAAGAAGAGAACTATTTTATATACGTTCTCTACGATTATATGGCTATAGAATTAATCATTTAATAAACAAAAGCACATTCATGGCTTCTGTCCGCTGCTTATAACTGTTTAAAGAGTTGTCCCAAACTTAATATGTGTGAATACATCAGCTGTTTGTAATAAACAATAACATTTAACCTGTTCTCCAATGGAGCAGCTCAGAGGCTGCATCAAGAGCAATGTTATATTTGAGCTATTTTTAGATTTAAAATTTTGTTAAAGCCTGTCGTTCTATGTCTGCATTTTAATACTACTCTCTATAAACACATCTGCACTAGATCCTACAGATGTGGAAAACAGAAACATCTAAAATCTGACTCCATTTGATTCCTTTTTACTCTAATTATTAGAACAATTTGACCTTATTGATACTTATTTCCACAATAGAACTATTTTGATTATTCCCTCCTGTGGACTCACCACCTGCAGGAGGATCAGTGAGGGGCTGGTGCTCTGTGGACTGGGTGCAGCTCTGACTGCCACCCCCCGACCCAGAAATGGATTAAGGGGAAGAAAATGGATGGATGGATGGATGATTATTCACTAGTCTAACTATTATTACTATTGTTTATTCTGACACCTCTTCTTGGCGACCCTTCAACCTATAGTTCCTTGAATCCAATGACATTATAGCTCCAGACTATTTCATTCTATTCTATTATTATCTTATTATTATATGATCTATTATCTTAAAGAGTAGATCTGCTTGATGTTATAAGCGCTATTATTTCTCCTTTTGAATTTGCACAACACTACATTTAGAATGACCCCCTATGGGACAAATAAAGAATTTTATTTTATTTTGGCAACTCCGAAAATTACTTAATAATTTTCCCATTTTGCTTTTTAGGCTGCCCTTTCCATTATTTATTTGGTCTTGTAAATATATGTTTTACACTTCTTTCTAATGATTTAGAAGGTTAAGGACCATGACCACCTATGACAATAACATTACCATACTCCCTCTCTTTGGTCATGGGCCAAGTGTAAAACATGCGTCTGTATGTGTGTGTAGATTACTGTTCCAACCATCTCCAGTTGCTTCCTCCCGGATCGTCCTCAATTCATATTGTGGGCTTTGGTGCCAAAGTAGAGGCTCATTTCCTCATGATCCATACTAACGTGGTATCCCTGAAGCAGGTGTAGTTTATCCTTTATCTGAAAAAGAAATATTAGAACACAAGAAATGCCCACTTCCCTCTCTTCGCATGGTGCAGCCTGTCAATCAATCCAATTGGGCAAAACATAACTGCACTGACAGACGGTGTGTGACATCAGGGCAGGGGCTGTAGCCAAATACAGACTTGACAAAATGTATGTTTCTAATTTTATACTCCACTAAATGTGAGTTACAAACCAAAGTTGTCCTCCGCCCAATGACCGCTCACTGCGGTTGGACCGAATCACTGTCAGGACAAACAGCAGAGGGAGGGACTCCCAGTACCTTCAGCAAGGTATTCATCTCAGAGTACTTTCCGCAGAGTACTTTCTCAGAGTACTCATCCCAGAGTACTCTCACTTTTACACCTGTTCAATAAAGCTTGTTATCTTTGAATCTCTAGTACTTACACCGTATGCTGTTGACAAAAAATAATTATTCCATGATCACATTAAAACATAAAACATTACAGAAAACATTTGTTATTCCATTCTCCGTTCAGCACTCCTCATTTCACATCACACTCACATCACTCACACATCACACTCACACAGGCCGACTCCCCACGTTAGTATATTGGTCCAGAGTTTGTTAAGGTCAACGTAGTGTACTTGACATGACGCACAAACATATAACATACACAAACATATAACACACTAACATATAACCCACACAAACATATAACACACACAAACATATAGACAACACAGGAGGCCTGAAATTTTAACTTTGTTATATTTTTCCATGTCCAATTACAATTGTCTCATGAGCTATTTCTATTGTTGCAACTTTCAGAGCCTGCAGAACATGCAGAGCTTTGAGAGATTTTTTCTTAAAAGGATCCATTTCAAACTTTAGTTTTTAAACCACGTGGTCTGTACTCGGGCTTGTCACAGACTGTGTCCCCTATATTTTTAATGAGCTCTTGTTACTTTAAAAACTCATGCACGTGCAATAAATGTTCTTTCCTTCTTTTTTTTTTTTTTTTTTTTTTTTTTTTTAAAAGCCAGTTCGGATTCCTTAAAAATGTAAATTAGTTTCAAACTTTAATACTTCACCTTTGTTTCACGTTCATGTGGAGAAAAGACCATTGTTCTATGTGTGTTGACGTACTTGCACCAATCATGTCTCAGATGAACGGCCAACAGTTGTATCAAAGACATAATTGTCCTAATTGTTTCTAATTTAGCTATTTGGAAGAGAAACATGTCATAAAAGATTTCATAAAATGTCCCTACATCTTTGTTTTCAACCAATGAACAGTGTTGCGTCAATGTGTTATCAGAAATGATCCAAAATCACCTTTAGCCAAAATTTAGAAATGCTTTAAATCATTTTTCAAACTTTAAATGTCTGAACAAACCATTTTGTATTAAATGCAGCGTCCATTAAAAGCTGCAGTTCTCTTTCTAGCACCAGTTCCAACTGTGCATGTGATTGTGTTTAAATGATTAACGAGCCACGGTTCAGAGGTTGAAAAATTGCCTTAAATATCCGTATTACAAGATCATGCAGTCAAAATCAATAATTCTAAACTTCTCCGCATCTATAACTTTAAATAACAATAATAGTTTCAATAATAAAGCTCCTCTACCTTAAATATACTGCTGTTCTAATCTCCTTGTGTCTCATGCTAAAGCAAGAGTCTAATTAATTTTAACGATTGTCTTGCAATCTTTCATGCAGCTAAATGTAGTGTTATGAACGAATGACCTAAATGTCCCATATGTTAGAGCCCTGCACGGGCCTATTATCTGGGCCCGAGCCCGGCCCTGGCCCGAGGGGGTGGCGCCCCAGCCCGGCCCGGCCCGGCCCGATATGGTTTCTGAATTTTCAGGCCCGAAACCCGCATCAAGCCCGCCTTTTTTCTTTTTTTTTGTAACCTCCCATAACAATGTTTTAGCGTAGTATATAGTGCCGCGCACTGATATGAACGCAGACTTAGCTAGAGGGCGGAGTTATACATGGTAGTGATGTGTTGCAATGAGTTCTGTGTGTGCGGAGTGGTGCAGAGTGAACGGCCGCATCTGTATGATGCCCCCGATGCTGCAACACATCTGCACATTACATAAGTAACGCTATGTGCCATCAATGACAACACTACACAGAACAAGAAACACTACAGCGTGATAGAACGCTATATTCAGTGGGTGCGTTCGTAAATGTATTCTGCCGCTCTGAAAATGAAGAGCCCGAGCCCGGCCCGTGTCCGAGGTCATTATGCGGTCATCGGCCCGAAGCCCGGCCCTCGGGCTGTCGGGCCGTCGGGGCCCTCGGGCCAAGGGCTCAAGTACAGGGCTCTACCATATGTCTCTGTGCGTTTGTTGCCTGTCTGTATATTACCTTCCGTCTGTTTCATTTGCCCAGCCACGTCCTCC